TTCCAGGTGGAGGATTTGCCTGAACTCCTCCTTCTCTCTACTGATCGATTGAACTGTTTACATAGTAAAGATATTTTTCCAATAAAGTACCTTTGTGTCTCACTAGTACTGTATATAATAAGGATTTACACACTGCATAAAGTTCACTAATGTTTGTGAGATTAAATATAAACATTGAATTTTTACAAATTGTTTTTTGGGTAAAAGCAGAAAAAAATGTTTTTTCCTTTTTCTTCCAGTTTTACTTTTAGATTAATTCTGCAAATTATTCGTTCTCAGGTTTAAATATGTTGTAGCTTCATTAAATTTTTTTTTGTTTGGACTTTAAATTGTTAAAGGCAACCTAGAAACCTTCCATGTCTGTTGTGGTATAAAATATGCATGCAAATCCTAAGCACACCTTAGGGAGCAGTAGACTTCTTAAAATGCCCAGAGAGAAATCCAGGACTAATGGTTTTACTCAGGCTGTGGGGTTAGATCCACACCATGCTCTAACCACCAGGCCAACGCTCCCTCATGTTTACATCTCAGGAAAAGGCACACTAGAAACTTAAGACATTAAGATGTTTGTGTAAGTTAGGGTTTATTTATTTCCAAGGATCCAAATATGGTAACACCTGCCCTTAAACCCATTTTATGTTACATAAAAGGATTTCACAAAAAAGACACACTTGTTTAAATCATAATGTTCTCTACGTTAATTACCATCTAAATAAAGATGAAGCTTTAAAACAGAATCCTATTTAACTGCTGTAGCCTAGCTTCATTCTACAATAATATAAACATATTGTTGTACATTTATATAGTAGGGTAAGAACTAAAAATTACTCCATTTAGTGCTTCTAAAATATAAATGACTTTTTGTGTCATTACCACTCGTTTTCCAGGTTGATCCAATATTACAGGAAATGTTATTTAGTTATCCTTAACCCTCTGTTGTCTAGCCCAAATTCAATCTAAGAGGCTCAGTTCTCTTATCCACCCAATTAAAAAGGAAAGATAGAAGAACAATAACCTTCAAATGAGTCAGTTGTTTGTCTGTCTTAAAAAGTCAGGATAGGGAGACAGGAAAAAAAGTGTGTGGCTTAATTTGCTCATATCTACATCCATTAAAATGTTAGGAAGTTAAAAAATACTTAACAGTAACAAACAGTAAAAAAGTTGCACTAGTTTTCTCAGTGAGATTATACTACTGCAATAAAAGATGCTTATTTTAGGGCTTCTTTAATATCTACGGCAGGTCTGCATTAAATGGGGAGTGTGCAGCAGATATCAATAAAGTAGAAAGCTGGATTTATACACGTTAAAAGAAAAACAAAGGACCGGTCTTGTTTTAAATAAAACATGTTTTATTTGAAACATTTCCACTAACCAGTTACTTAAATGTTGACAAGAAAGTTTAAATTATTTGGTTAACCTTGGATTTTGTTTAATTATTAGAAATAAAGTCACTTTGTGAGCTCGGTATCAAGTATGAAGTCCTCTGGCAGTGACTCTGCAGGAATTTTCTTAAGCTGCTCATCATAGGCCCTGAGAGTCCACAGTTTCTCCAGTTCATATACCTCTCTGGTTTCAGGCAACATGAAGTGGACAACCATATTTCCTGATGAGGAAAAAAAAACAAACAATTTAACAGTTAAGATCAATTGGCATAAATCTTTTTTTTTTAAACGATGGGATCTACGCACCAAAGTCGACACACATCCAATCCTCTGCATCCTTGCCTTCAACCCTAACATGTGGCTCTCCGTCTTTCCTCAGAAACTTATACTGAGAGAGAGAGCAATTGTTAGCACAGGCGCTGAAACTGAATCTATGAAAATATCTAATAGAGAGGAAATCAGTAACAGTTACCACTTTGATGGCATAGAGAGCCATGGCACGGAGGTGTCTTGGTGATACACCACTGACCACTATGAAGAACTCAGCGTATTGGACATGATCTGGCACTTTTATCACACACAGGTCCACCGCATTTTCCTGACGCAGCAAAGACACCAGGACATCAAGGGTGAACACCTCAGAGAACTCTGGGGGGGGAATAAAAACATCTTCTTACACTGAAAATATTCAAGTAATAAAAAGATATTGTATATTTTTTTAAGTATTTTTTATATCATTATTTTATTTTTAAGTATTTATTATATCATTATTTTATATATTTTTTCTTTTTGTATGTTTTATAAAAACTAAATATAAAAGTTAGACTGAAAAAGGTGACTTATATAGATGTTGGGCAATGCACTGCCAGAACTGATGCCGTCCAAATCTGATCTGTTTTTGACTTCAGTGAGTTGGAAAAATAAACAATCTGTTCTCTGGACCTGGTACTACTTTTACAATTTAGGAAAATTAAAGAGAGAAAACTGACAAGTTTTATTTTTGAAACTAGGGATGCAGAATATACTGATATTAATATCGGTACTGATCACTGTTGGCCTTTTCTTAGAATCCTGGTTTGGTGAGGATGCATACGATATTTATTTCCATGTATTTGTTTTTTTCTTTCAGGAGAGGGAATGGATCAGTGATATGTCATTTGTTTAGTCATGTGACAGTGATTGTGATGAATGTCAGCGTTGTAGTCGGTGCCCAGATGGTAGGGAAATAAATGATACAGGAAAATATTGGTAACATTAAAATTGGATATCAATATCAGCCCAGATTTTCATTTCAGTGCATCCCCAGTTTGAATAATCACCATAAAAGACTACAATAAAAAACACAAGACACTCTTCATCATTCCTATATTATTACATGTTAAATTAACACGTTTATTGTATTACAAGTTCTTTTTTCATTTATATTTACAACTTTCTGTTGTGAATAGCAGAAATCTAAAATGTAATCTGTTCAGTTATCCAATCTGAAATTCTAATTTAGAACAAAACTAAACAGAGTCAATTTTTTGTTCTCTTTACAAGCAAAGTGAGCAAAGTAGTAATAATAAACTATTTTTTGAGCACAGATCTGTTCATTGAAATAATTGAGGTTTTAAAAGCTATTTTCTATCATGTAAGATAAAAACTTAATTTAACTTTTTTTACAATGACGAATCTGTACCTTTCTTACTTTAACGTACCGGTAAATAAAGGTGTCAGTGCTTTTACTTGTCTTTTTTTAAAGAGGTATTTGTTTCCAGTTAGAGGTAAAAACAGGTCATTGTAAAGAATCGGAGAACCTTTTGACTGGGGTTGTAAAAAAGAATCGATACTCAAGCACTGTGTCCAGATTCAGTACTAATTCGGCATGGGATCAATACTTAAAACAAGTTTTGTTTTCATATTTTGTCTACAGTTAATCTTAGATTTTTGGGTTATTTCTTTAACTAGCATCTGTGACTCTGTTGTGAAAACATGATACATAATTATTCTGAAAAGATTCAGTTTTTCAAAGTTATTTATTCCTTTATTTTTCATGCCTTTAACTACTTGTAATATGTTTAATAGAAAATGATACAGAGTATCAAATATTTCCTTAATATCACAGAATTTAAGACTCTAGTGACAACCCTAATCTGAAACCTTTGTAATTAAGGGAATTAAAGAAAAATGTACAATGAATTATATAATCTTTTTAATAACTCAGATAATATGTGACCTTATATCATATAGAGAATTATATAAGAAATAACATCGAACATATAGGACAGAGAGAAGGTAACAGCTTCATTATGGTTCATAATAGATGCTTGAAGGGATTGTTTAGTACAGAAATCTTACCCTGGTTTCGGGTTTTGACGCCCCTTCCTTGTCCTTTCGACTCCACATCGGTTTCCTCATCTAATTTTTCAGGTCTTTCTGTCAAGCTGCTCTCACCTCTGACTGAGTAACACCTTTTTGATTCGAGGCCACACACGAGAAACGTTCCCTGACGCCAGTGTTGGTGGGATAATGATAAATCAACATTAAATCTGTGGCGCTGAGCTTTTGCTAACAAACTGACGCATTTAGAAATAGCAGATTTATCTACTAAACTATTTATCCTACAAACTGAAGAGAGCAGTATCCTTGATCTACACAAAATACTCATTATTTATAAGCTGTAGACCCAAACTGTTAATGTTGACACGAGCGGCGATAACAGGAAGTGGGTCTTGTCCTTGGATTCTGATTGGTTGGCTTAGTATTTCGTTGTTTTCTGCGTAGTGCACGGGCTGCTCGAATGTAGCGCCCTCTAGCGACGAGGAAGGTCTACATCTGCAATGCGATCAAAGATTAGCATCATATCGGGTTTATCTTGAAAATTACTTTAAAGTCAACCAGGAAAGTAAAAAAAAAAATAACTTATATTATAATTTTCATAATTCATATTCATCGTTTTATTTATTTCTACATTAGATCTTAAGAGTATGAATAATTTGGGCTATAATTGTATGAAAGTAACATTATCAGTACACTGAATTTATCTTGAACAATGCCACACAAAAAATATTTCAATCCTTATAGATATCTACTACTTTATTATTTTCCTAATACTTATCATTCATTTAAATATATATAAACCATTTCTGGACAAATGATTGCACAAATGTAAATCCCTTTATTGTCACACAATAAAGTATTTAACCCAACCTCTTTGGGAGCAGTGGGGTATTAGGGGTCTTGCTCAGGGACCCAAAGTGCAGGCTGTGGGGATCGAACCTTGTCAGAGCACAAGTGCACTGCTCTAACCACTAGGTCAACACAGCCAAATCAGCTATAAGTAATCACACTAATCTATCCACTGCTGACTGATTTAATAAACCTAGGCATCAGCATTAACATCAGTAGTGGACAATGATGGCCAGTTTTAAGTATATAGGTATTGGTCCAATCAATAAAACTGGGTCAATATTGACAACTGATATTTAACTCCATGTATTTTTTGCTTTTGTTTTGTGGGGATCGGTCATGTGGTATTTATTTGATCATGTGACAATAATCATGATAGAGCCCAGGATGGTGGGTAGTAAACTGAGGCAGGGAAATATATGATATTGCTAAATATTGGTTATCAACATAGCTGCAATAATATCAGATATCAGCTCAGATTTTCGCATCGGGGCATTCCTAATGAAAACCAACCCCAAAATAAACAGATTTTGAAAAGCATCAATTTGATTAGGAGAGATAACAAATTTATGATCATCCATGCAAAGTTTATTCACTTTAGAGTATAACAGTCAGATATTTCACATTATAACAGTGAAAATTGTTTAATTAACTTTTTAACTTCCTTTTTTGATAAAAAAAAAGAGGTTTGAAAAAAAATCAAAGAAACAACTGTGAGCAGCTCTGAATGTATAAAACATGCATGAAATGTGAAACCACAACAAAGTGATAAAAAATAAATTGTTTCCTGAGGCATAAACTGACCAAGTGTAATTTTTTTCTTAATGTACAAATTCAAGTATTTGAGTAAAACAGTTTAGATAAAATAGTGTCAATTCGCCTCCAGATGAAATGTGCATTCATTCATCTTCAAACTCGGAGTCCATTATGACTTTCAGCCTCAGGCCAACAGGAATATGATCAGTAAGCCCAGCCAGCTGAGTTATGAAGGTCACCTCTTCAAGTTCCTGAATGGGAAAAAGGAAACCCAAATATGTCGGTGTTACATGACTTTGATAAAATATCAGTTTATTAGGATATTTAATAGGATGGTACACAGGAACATGGCTTAAATGGGAACCTAGCAGAGGAAGAAAGAAAACAAAAAAAACAATGAGGAATGTACCGTTCTGCACAGCTTTGAAATGGAGGTTTCACGGTAGAGAATGTAATCAATGCGACGTCCGATCCATGGCTGGCCAGGCTCTGGGTAAACCAGAGGCACTCCTTCTTGAGCAACAGGAGGAGAGATGTACTGCTTCCTCATCTCTTCTGTTTCCAAAGTCCTACAGAGACAAAGAGAGAGCTTGTCATGTCGCTGTAAGGATTAGATGAAATTTAGATACCGCTGCTCTCATCATAATTTTGCTGCTGCAGTAAATAAAAGAAAACACCAAAAAAATGAATAATAGAAAATGACCTTTGAAGCTTTTCTGGAGAGCTCACATCATCCTCGTACAGAGTGGGCTGCTCCAGCAGAGTACCTTCAGAAGCAGAACACAGTAATGACAGTGTCCAATCAGAACTGTCAACATTTGCTACACAGAAGTACCGTGCTGGAAAAAGTACTTTTATCACATTTTGTCATATTAGAACCAAAAAAATCTTGAAGAGAAACTTTCTAATGACAAACCAGCATCAAATTGTCTGTCAAGTGGAAGAACATGATTTTCAATATGTTCTATTTGATCAAAAAAAGCGCTGTGTGTGTTTCAATTAAACCTCTCCTCTCTGAAGTCACACAAAGTGTATGTAGTCTAATTTAAAATATTTCATTTTATACCAACCAATCACCCAGGGCTTCTCCTTTCCAGGTCCTGCTCTGCATGGATCTCTGTACTCCTCAAACAGTTTGTGATTCTGTTCCAGCACGTCATCTAGAAAAACCAGACGCTTATCAGAAGGCATCTGAAAGGGGCTTTAAAGTAACACTGATAAAAATGTCTGAAACAGGAACAAAAAAACCAATGACAGTGAAAGAGACAAACCTGGTGAACAGTTATCGAAGTTGAAATCCCCGCAGAGGACGTCAAAGACCACCTCCTCATCAGGCTGTCTGTGGGCGTCCTGAAAAGCCCTGATCCACTGGTTGACCATGTCCAGCTGGTCACAGCGAATCTTTCCCTCACCTGATCACAACACAGGAACGTCATCACAAACCAGACTCACCTTTGCTCTTCAAGAAGTCAAATCTATTTGAATGAAGCAAATGTGAAGCTGGGACTTGCCCTCTGGTGCATGAAGATGTGTGCAGTTGAAATAGCCAACCACTTTCTTCTTTTTCTGATTCTGTCCAATAAGCATCTGGAGATTAAAAAAAGCCAACAGTTATGACCTTATTTGAGGGTTACTATAGAAACAAATGCAGCAACTCTGTACATCTTTAAATCCATCCATCCATCCATCCATCCATCCATCCATCCATCCATCCATCCATCCATCCATCCATCCATCCATCCATCCATCCATCCATCCATCCAT